TATATATTCTAAGTCATTTAATTAATAATTGTATATTATATAATAAACTATATTCATTTTGTAACTTTGTAAATTAAATGATATCTTAATATTTTTTTCATTTTTGTAATCAGTAAATAATTAAAATGATTTTGTATTATAATCTGTCTCTTATACACATCTAGATGTGTATAAGACCAATTTTAAAACTATTAAACAGTTCCCTAATAAACATAAAATACAATAATGAATTTTTTTAAATCCAAAGAGTAATATGAAATAAAATGATACAATTAAGGGTAAAAAGTTAAACATTTATTTTTTAATTATCAAACCTTATTTTTAGTTTTAAATTAAAGCTCTTCATGGTTATATATATGGTAATTGGAATTTTTAAGGTTTTATATTTTATATATTTTAACAGTATAATCTTCAGGTGCTTAATTAATCTTCCATATTTTTTCTTAGACGTTATGTGTCAGATAAGGAACTTTTCAAAACACTTGTGCAGAATTCAAAGGGGGCAAATACACGTTGGGCGATGGGAGGAAATGCACCAGCAATGGCCCGCAGAATGGCCCTAGAAGGGTGTGACGTATTGCTGGGTAGCAGATTGTCAACGAAGCAAATGAGAGACCTAGGAGGCGATATACAATGTATAGTATCCTCTTTAATTTTATGTTGGGTCTATTTTTTTGATAATTTATTGTTATTTTTATATAATACATATACTGTATTTTTTAAGCAAGTGGTGCATCGGTATGGGTATTGATTTCCACTCGAAAGGCCCAAGTTTGATCATGGTCTGACCTCTTTATCGACCTCAAGTGGTTAGTTTGTTGGGGTTTTTTGGTGGTACACACAGTGAAAGTACTGTACAATTTGTGTGTGTGTTCGTCTTCTACAGTAGTTGGTTTTTACGTGTTAAACGTAACAAAGAAAATAAAATAGAAGGCTGATTTGGCGCAGCAGTTCTGGGTGGGACTCTCAACCTTAAGGTGGGGTTTCAAACCCTCGCTCTGCAAACCACTTGTGTCCACTTTTCTTTATCTACATTTCTCTCTCCACCAAGGAGTGTGTTGGGCAAGAATAGGTGTATAAAGCAAAATCAAGAGCAGAATGCTCGAGCCAAAAGCTTTGCTTCATGTTGATTAATTATTGTGGCCTGGAGTGTAATATATTAGCTGGCAGGTGCTTTAGTAGGCCTCGTGCTTTAAACTTTAGAGAGTAGCTTAGCTCAGTCGGCTTATCTGGTGGTAGACACTGTGTGTGCGCTGAAACACCAAGATTTCTGCTGTAGGTCCCTGGTTCAATTACCATCGTTGTCTCTCATTGTGTTTCAGCTGGAGGGCTGAAATACAAGTTACAATAGCGCACCGTCTTTCGGATGAGACATTTAAGCCATTGGTCCCGTATGCATTATGGCCCATGTGCATGTTAAAGAACACAGTACACTCTTCGGAAAAGTGTAGGGGATTGTCTCCCGGTGTTCTGCCCAATCACCAGAAGGACCCCACTGGAAATAAGTCTTCTGCTAGATTTTCGTGGGCTATCCTTGGTGTTTACACCGAATAGATCCAAAACTTTTTCTGTATACATTTTTTTCTCACTTTCCTAAGCAACTTCTAATTAACGTCACAAGAGGCTTTGAAGCAGGTGCATTACCAGGTCATCGTATTGATTTCAATATCAATGTTTCTTTTGTAACTATCTAGCCAATGAACAAAACTTCACTTGTCTCTTATACCCATTTCACACTGATGCTATTTTGCAAATATTAACAACTTGTAACAAGTTGTAACCAGGTTTGGATGAGTATGAAAGCAAATCCTTGTAAAACTTTCCGAGATTTCACAGGGGTCCCCTGAGTTATCTCGGAACAAAAACAGACCATCGCGAGGCCTGTTTTTTCCCCAAAATCTTCCGAGTTGTTGTTGCGCATGTGTCATGTCCCTATTTTTGACCTTTTCTCGGGCTGTGTTTTTTTTTTTTTAGTTCGAACGAATGGCGGCAATGATGGAAAATGTATCAACATTACTACCATTTGTTAATAGGCCTAGACCAAAAATCAAAAGAAATCTCGCTAAATTTCACATGTCTGATGTAGAAACCTCTAGGCCTAGTCATTATTCTTCCGAGTTTTCCCGAGATTTCTCATGGTTTGAAAGTGTATGTGTGAAACGAACCAAAAATCTCGGAATATCAAACTTGTTACAACTTGTTAATAATTGTTAAAAGTTGTAACATTTTCTGCTAGTGTGAAATGGGTATTATATTCACTTATATTAATCATTATTTTTCTATAAACAAACCATTTGCCCTTTGACTTAATTGATTGGTTATAAGAAAGATTATTAATAAAAAGATTTTTTTTTTAATTGAAAACATTCATTCAATTGTAAAAGTTACTTTTACAAAAGAAATGAAACCTAAATTTGTGAAAATAAGATATGATTTGTGAAACAACCTGGTAAAAAGAAAAGAAATTATATTAAAAAGTTAAGTCTTAGGGTGCTACTGCTGACAATTTTGAGGTGCCACAGCCAACCATAGTGGGGTTGAAGTGGTATCGACTTTCCGTCTCTAAAAGTCACTCCCTGGGCCCCCTCTAAATTTTGAATTCCCTCCCTGGGCCCCCTTTAAATTTTGAATTCCTTCCCTGGGCCCCATCTGTATTTTGAATTCCTGGATCCTCCACTTGGTTGTATCTTGTTTAGATAAAATAACATTTTGTTTTTGCCTTTAGAAAATGACTGTCAAAAAAAGAAAGTACAGTAATGCACAAATAATTTTGTTGACTTCTAAGTAGGGAAATATGTTTTGTTTGCAGATGATTCTGTTGAACCCAGAATTAATTTAAATATTTAATAAATTAAATTCATTTTGAATTTAATTTTTTAATTTTTATCCCACAGCTGTTGGGAAGCCACTGGAGGATGAAGACGTGCATATAATACTTGAGTATGATAAAGGAGCAAAATGGGGGCCATACACTTCACCACGAGCTAATAGGTCAGTAAAATTATTCAAATTCCTTGTAATGCGTGGTGAATTTGCTCTGGAAATCCTTGCTCTTGTGTTTGCAATATTTTTTAATTACAATTGCGATTTCATTTATTCTGAAGTATTTGGTCATGTTACAACCAACTGCCTTATCAGTGATGTCCAACATAGCTTTTTTCCATCACACTCCTGTGTCACACAATTAAAAAACTTTCTCAATAAACGATTTGTCCTTCATAATAATTCTTAATTTACAAAGTATTGGAATTAAGTTTGTTTTACATTAGAATTATCTTATACCATTTTTATATTTAAATATCTTAATTCTTTAATTATATATAATTAATTTTATATATATTTTTTGGATTTATTTCCTTTAAAGTTAACATGATCTCTGATCAATGATTACATATTTTGCTTTCAGTATTTTGTTAATTTTGATTTATTTTATTGTAATTGATATAATTGACCTATTTTATTTATAATACTGTATTTATATTAAACTGGATGAGTTAAGTTTATAGGCTTTGTATTATAATGATGTAGTTCGCTTTTGTGTTCCTGCCAACTGGTTCAATTTATTGTACTTGTATTCTGTATGTATTCCACGATTGTATTGTACTTTGATTTCTTTTTTGGCGGATAAAGAATAAGAATTAGAATTTCATCTGATATGGTATCCTTTGATGTGTAGGAAGTTGATTGGCGCAGTTTGGTTTCCATGCTTCGAGGTCGGGGTTTCAATCCCTCGTTGTGCATTTCGTTTGTGTCCTTGAGCAAGGCACTTTATCTACATTGCTTCTCTCCACCCAGGAGTATAAATGGGTACCTGATGGGGTTGCCTGCTCCTGCGCTGACGTAAGGACGTAACACCACAGCCAAATAGTTAAACTGCAGTACTGTAATACTAATTGCATGTCATTTTTGTTGTATTTTTAGACTGATTATTCACAGTGATGAGTCAAATCCAACATTGGAAGCTCTTGAGGATTTTGCAGCAGAACTGAAGGCCTTCAATCCCGCAGCTCTTGTTATGGGCGGCCTACAAATGATGGATAATTATCCATTCAAGCAAGGTAATGATTGTGATCAATAGTCATCAATAAATTATTAAGAATAAATGTATTTTGGTTTCCCAACCTGGAGACCACAGTTTCAATCCCTCATTTTTTGCTAGTGCCCTTGAGTTGGGTACTTTGTCTACATTGCATCTCTCCACCCAGGAGTATAAATGGGTACCTGGTTGGTTTGCCTGCTCCTGCTTAAGCATGTAGACCCAGTTATCTGGGAATGAAATGCTTTGAATCTGCTATAAAATGACCAAATAGATCAATAAAAGGTAATTAATTATTGTGTCAGAGATCCCAAGTTGGAAAAACAAAAAATAGGGAGATTTTTTCGTGAAGTGATCACCTCCAGTAGCGACGTGCTGTGACACCTTACAACGCGTTGCACAACATGAAAATGTTACACAAAATGAAGGCAACAAAAGTTTTTAATCAATTTGTATACTTTTATTTAACAATTTTACACTTGTTTACACATTGTAGTTGGCCTAAAAAATATAATTTTATAATTATTAATATTATTTATTTAGCATTGTGCTAGTAGAGCCCTCTTGGCAGCAGTCAACAAGGCCGCGTGTCAACAAGGCATTCATGCTTGGCATATTTGAGGCTATGGCTGATTTACAACATTTTTTCAAAGAACATAGAATTCCAGCAAAGTAACTGCAACTTGCAAGATCCACACTTGTTTGCTGAGAAAGTAAAAAATTATATATATTAATTTAGTAAATGATACTGTACATGTTTTAAGTCAGCATTTATATATATGTCTAGCCTATAATAACTGGTACACAATGCCATAAAAAAATGTTAAACCCTGCCTTGCTAGGCTTCATCTTATACGTGGGTAACTAGGCCTAAGCCCGCAGAGTCAAGACCACCACACTATACAGAGGTGCCTACCCACCACAACACACACACCCTGCAGTGCAGACAGAGCCTAGGCCTACATGTATCTCAGGATCGATGTTCTTATTAAAATAAACTTAATTTTTCAGATTCTGAATATTTTCGGAAGACTGCTTAGTACCAAAACCTAGTAACTATGATTTTTTAGTATTATTATTGAAAGAACTGAACCTTACTTGAAAGAAAAGGTATCTTTTATGTACCGATTCTCCAAGTTCCAAATCCTCGTGCAAAAACTTGGGCCTCATCCACCATGTGATTTCTGATTTCATTCATTTGTTGAAATTTATTTCACTCAACTGACAGCCATCTAAATGAGTAAGGTCGTCGCCGGACGCAAACTATCTTAACATGGAGGATCAAACAAGGGGAGTCTACCACCGATCTAGGCCTAGCCTTGCCATAGAGTTTCCGATAAACAATTTAAATAACAACTCCCTGGCCTAGTAACGACACATTTATGGCTGAGCGAGCGCCATAATATATTGGATTAAAAGATAAGAAATTTGTTTCATTGCTCTATGACATCGTGGAAATTACATTTTTCGTGAAATTTTCGGGATTTAAAAAAAATATCAGGAGAAATTAATAAAAATCAGAAGGGCGGGAGACGGTTTAAAAAATCAGGAGAAACCTGCGATTTTCGGGAGACTTGGGATCTCTGTTGTGTTCAGTAGTAAACATTGATCAATAGTTAATCAATTAATTACCATGGTCAGTAGTAAGCAATGATAAATAATAATCAATGAATTATTGTGGTCAATGGTAACCAATGATTAATAATAATAATAATAATAATGATAGTAATTAGCTTTATTATAACAGAGGAAAACTTGTTTCAACAAAAGTTGTTCTTCTACAAGTTTGTAAAGGAGAGCCAAAAAATTAACAAATTAAAATTAACATATCTGAAAGCAAGTAAAAAACTTTACCATAAGGTTACATTAACTGTACCATTAACTAAACAACTGTATGACTAAAAGAAAACATAAAAATACATTTATACAATAGTTATTCTTAAAATATGGGAATGTCATTTTGTAAACAGGACCATCCAGAAACCCAGACCCCCAGCGACTCTACCATGGATACCACGCAACTAAAGCATTTTGAGACCTAAATGCCTTGGTTACGAAACATTCAGGTTACAATATTTCTGCCACCCAATCAATTATTTTGGCTATCATTAGCAATTGGTATCATTACTGGTTAAATAATTTATGCGTCTTTTTATAGCATGCTACTGTAGTATCTGCTGCACATTAGAATCATGTAGACTTGATAGGTTGTTTTTTAAAGAGCTTACATTCGTGTTTCCATTTGGAAATTAAGCATCGTTTTGACTAGGTTACCAGCTGGTGTTTTAGACAGTTTTGTCGATAGTACCAGAGGGCAGAAGACGCTGAATAAACTCTATTGATTTGCTAATCAATTAACTGTCATATAGAACTCTTTGACTGATTACAGTCCATTATCATTAGAACTTATCTTACGAACAGATAGGTAGCATTGCACTATACACTGAAACAACAACTTGAAAAACATCACTCTGAGAAGCCACCATGATATGGATGTTTCAGAAATCAATATCAGTTCTACCTTTTCTGGAAAGTTCTTTATGTTGTGACTCAGTGAAATATAATAGATACAATTGAATACAAACAAAATATAAATATTTACAAGAAACGGTGTCCAATGAAAATATGAGTATTATAAAAATTATGTTTTAATTGATTATTACTTTCAGCACAAAATATAACCATCCTTTACTCTAATGCAGTGTTGAAAGAAATTTATCTTTTTAAAAAATATGTTTCAGGATTCCAACTTTCTCTGTTTCTTCTAATATCAGAATCATATAACATATCGTTTATTTCACCATTTCAAATTTACAAAAACGAACATAAGAATACATAACAACTCAGCAGTACCTGGAAGAGTAATCCTGGGTTCATGAGTTTTTCTCATGAATTAAAAACAACTCCACTTTCTAAGTGTCTTGGTCTAATTTGAACTGTTGCTTTCTTTTTGTTGCGTGTCTTCTTTGTCCGGTTTTGTCCATGTCCTTTTTCTTTTCTGTTTGTTTTTCGTGTCTCCCTTTTGTTTTTTTTGTTTCTGGCTGACTTGTCACAAGGTGGTTTTCTTCCTGGGTCTATGCCTTTTCCTTTTCTCATGAATTTGTTATGATCTTGTTTTATATTTTTGTACGGATTGAAAAGGAAGTAAATAAATGTTACTTTGAATAACAAGAGTTGAAACACATAGCCAGCAATACATTACTTTAAAAGGGTGCCTGAATATCATATGACCTGGTTCTAAGCTTCATTGGAGACTGTTTTAATACACTTCAAATAAGTTAAATTAGACAGAAAAATATAAACGTTTTAAATTGTCAATGTCATTAGTATATTGTGAGTGTTGTATATCTTTACCTGTATGGTCATTATGCAGTCAGACCAACAGCTTCATGTCTAATCTGAAGGACGAATTTTTTGTGTCTTATGGGGAGGCACTTGATATATTACTACTAATTTTGTATTTTTTTATTCTTAATCATCATACAGTAAATATTTTTTTAACAGGTGAAAGGGAAGAACGAATGATGACACTACAGCGAATGCTTGCAGACACGCCTATGACGATACGTAGTCATTTTGAGATGGCATCTTTCACTGATGAGCACCTCATAGAAGATGTACTTAAACACGTCATTCCATTTATCGATTCAATTGGGACCAACGAGCAGGAACTGACTAACCTGTATAGCATCCTCAACTATGGCAATGTTACATTAGTCACACAGTCTTACCCACGCGTGGCTTCTGTCCTCGATCAAATGCGGTCCATCTACAATATACTCAGCAAGACCAAAGAGAGTGATGGGCAACGTAAACTAACACGACTTCATGTGCATACACTTGCATTCCAGGCAATTCTTACCACGCATAAATCAGCGTGGAAGAATACCATGGCAGCCGCGGCAAAGTCCTCACTCACAGCATACCGATATGTGTGTGGCACGAAGGAAATTGACATCGCGAAATCCCGCATCCTAATGGATGAGGGATTTTCTGTGTCCATGGAAAAAAACAGCAGGAAGGTAATGTTTGAGGCAAACAGGCCGGTCTCGTGTTGGGACGAGAGTGATTATCAGATATGCATTGCACCTGTTCTAGTTTGCACGGAGGTAAGACAGACAGCTGGTGGTGGGGATAATGTCTCTGCAGCAGGTCTGACCATGCAGATCTAGTATATTAAAGTGACTGTCACATGACCTGTGCTTGTGCACGGATCTAACTATGGTTATGTGCTCAGGCACTTGCTTAGTATACCATTTAGAGATAGAGGGCCTAGACCCCTCAACCCCACAATGGCTGGGGCTGATGTACATTTTAATCCTATGGCACTTGTAGGTGGCAAGAAACGGTACTCTCACAATTAAATTTAAATGTAATTCTATGGCACTCTCACAATTAAATTTAAATATAATTCTATTTTTTAAAATATTTTCAAAAACCTCTGTAGAATGGGGCTGGCTGGGAATACACCATATGTGTCAGGGTGTTTCTGATTGATATACACTTCTGGTGACAAGGGGAAACAGTGCCTTAAGCATATATTTTTCACTACATAAATCATATTAAATAGTAGTAGCATGTTCTATTTTCTCTATGGTAGTAGCAAGTACACTCTACATTACATTATGTAACCAATTATACCTCCTTGATGTAGCTAAGTGATTCTCAATAAATTAAGTTCCATTATGAGGCATTAGGAATGGAGTCATGTGAACAAAATCATGTTATTTTGGATTGGAAGACAAGTACCTTAAGGTGAGCTTTTTTATTCCTTGTTTTGCATACTTATTTTTTCAAAGATCATCGGAGGAGGGCAGAATAAAAATAAAAGTAAAATTTTGTTTTCTTATTTAGCACATAGATTTGCCAAAAACATCTAGGCGGAGGAGAAAATAAATTAAAATTTTATTGGTGAATGTAAAATGGGATTGATAAATGCTTCAAATTTATATAATTAGAAGGAAATATACATACAATTTCAAGGCAGCGGAGGGTGTAACAAAAATAAAGGAAAACTTTTATGTTTTTTCTGAAATTTCCATTTTTGTGGCGACATGTGCGCTAATTGGCTAAAAATAAAATTATATTTTTATTCAATGATCAATATTTGCATTCGGTGGGTTCGCTAAACAAGGTATAAAAAGTCTTGACTAACCAGTATTATAAAGCTCTTCATTAGTTATGCTTTATATTTATAGAGAATAAATCACTGTCATGCTCACTATCATGATTATTTTCAACCTAAATTTCCAGTATAATATAATGTATGAGTTTTATAATCATTCAATATTTTTGAAATGCTGTTTATTACAGGGCGAGTTTGGTAATGTTTGTCACATTGTTCATTATTATTCTTTTGTTTTGTGGGTGTCTTGGATTAGTTAGTGAAAAATATAGGTGGCGCTATACAACATACCATTAATACCATTCCTGACCACTATATCATTATCATTTGTCTTAAATTAAACTGATTGTTTTTATTCAAAGCATACTGCCCACCTTAAAAAATTAGTGTGCTTTAAATAGTTCATTCGTTGTACTAATCAAATTATTTGTATTTAATGTTAATATTACTGATTTGCTTTGTACTGCCTGCCCCAAATTTTATTTTTGGAAAATTATTTTTAAGTTTTTATATTATATTGGGCCAATTTTAGGTTTCTTATAATATTGGCTATTATTGATGTTATTGTTGGTTGGTATGGTATGGATACAAAGAAACATTTTAGGATTTGTGTATAAAAAGATATGATGGATTATAACCTGTGATTATTTAATTATTTTTTTCTTTGAATTCAAAAGAACAATGTCGTATCCAGCCATTTTGATTCTATATCTATAACCTAATTTATGCATGAAAGATTGACATAACCATGTGTCATTTTAAGCACTAGACACAGATATGATTGTCTGGTGACTGAACTTTTTTTAACAATGTGGAATGAGAAAATAGTGGAATGGTGTCTGCCTCTGTTCACACCAGTGGTTATCATGTGATATACTATTTCATTGTGTATTACACAATATCTTTAGAAAAAAAAATGTGTCCTAATGGGAAAATCCAAAGATGTATACAACTTGGCTTCATAGCTCAGTTGGTAGAGTATCTGAACTTTCATTGAAAAGTCTTGGGTTTGAATCCTGATTGGGACATACTGTATGTTTTTCTCCAATATTTATTATCATTAATGCTTGTGCATTTGTGTTTGAAGCTTCCTAGTGGGCCTCAGTCCATAACATTGTATTAGCAATGATTTGAATCAGTGAGAATGTAAAAAACATTTTACAGTACTTTTCATAATTTAGTGAATACTTAATTGTGTGAATGTATTTTTTATTGGAGAAACATTTAAATTATGTTGTTCATAATTACAGTAATATAAATTTTAACTTTATGAGAAAATAATTATTAAATGACAAAAATGTCATTTTGGAAAGTAATTTTAAAATATTGTGTTCTGATGAAATATGTATTACTTGCATTATTTTATTATAATGTGAAATATTTTAAAATAATACTTAATATATAGTATTAAGTATTCTTAATTTGTTTTGGCACTCTGTTGCTTTTATGTATGTTATTTCTTAATGACTCAAGGTGAGTTCAGTCTATTTTCGATGATAACTTACTGCAGATTATTAGCATAAAATGTACATTTTTTTTAGTTGAGCCTGTTTTCCATAAAAGTGCTACAGGCTGTCACTGGATCCTTTTGGCAAAGCTGACTGGTTAGTCAAATTTGAGAGCCTTCCCGATTGCATCAGGGACAGGTACGTACTGTAGTGTAATGATTGCAGTGAAAATGCTCCAGTTGACAGTGTTGGGAATTTATGGAAACCAGGTTTTATTTCCAGGTCAACAGTATGTGTTGTGATGATCAGTGTTGGTCGATAAATACAACACGTCAAATATTAATATTGATTTTGATTGTGTTATTGAAGAACTATCAGTGCAATAATAGATAACGGTAATATCGTTTGAGATAACATCACTCCTTTCTAAGTGACATAATCAGCAAAGAACAAATTTGATTGGTTATTGGTCAGCAGACATCATTTCAGAATAACCTGTGTTGTGAGTGGTCACTGCAACCAAAATTTTTCTTTAAATCATATTTGTGAGTGTTTGATTGGGTGATGATTTGCATGTAATAAATTTATATTTCAGTACTTGATGTCTTGATTTCTTTTTGTTATGTCAAGAGGTTTTTCCACTCATTCTCAGATGAAGAACAACATGTAGGCCTGCATATATTGTACACGGTCTTGGAAAGAACAATGCTCGTGTAGCTAATAAACAAGGCTAGATGTTAGGTATTTAGTGTTTTTTACCTGCCAAAATAATAATTGGTGAAACCACCAATTAGATTAGTGATACAATATATGAATTTATTTAATAATCAATTAGCTAACAATACTATACAATACCAAACATTTAAACCTATTGCTGGATTTTTTCAACACATTCTCTTTTATTTTTAGTATCAAGCTCAGAATAATTAAAATGCAAAACTTGTTTGTAATATACAATAGAATACAAATGTAGTTGCTTCAATAATAACCTCAACTCTAAAGTAGAAATATTAGCATATATATATATACATATCTGTCTCTTATACACATCTAGATGTGTATAAGAGACAGATTCGCCACTAATCGTTATGCAATATACACAAAAAAAACTATATAGGTAAACAAAACATCTTATGATGTGCATTGGCTAATATTTTGACTAGTAAAACAAAATTTATTATAGAAAAAAATTGCATTAAGTAGCGAATAATAATAGAATTCTGGAATAAAGGTTACCCCAGTAAGTTCAGGTTGGACACATTTTTGTTTATATTGCATGGTTTTCTGTAGCCAGCTGCCTGTTCAGTATGTAGCCTAGTGCCTATAGGCCTAATTTAGTTGATCCGGGTGTTATAGCGGGCTAATGTGGTAGGCCTACGTGAATCCTGTTATAGTCGCCTTGTGTGTTAGGCCGACGTGGATTTTATTTAGCAGTGGCGCACTAACAGCTGGGCTCCCACTGGCTAAAGCCAGGGACCCCAAGCCTTAAAGCACCCCCCCCCCCAGGATATTTATCACAATTTTTTATCTATCTATACATTGGTCGAATGGGACCTTTTTAGCAAAATACTTCCTTAAAACGTCAAATACGCCGAAGCAGACAGGGCCTCCCCAGGGTAACAGGACCCCGGAGAATCATTTAGGTGCCTGAAACCGTACCTCTGAATGTACATAGGATATTTAAGTAAAATTGATCTGTACGATTATAACTGTTGATATAGCAGCTGATTGGCCTAATAATGTGCTTAGTATTTTGGATTCATATGCAATATTGTACAATTAAAGACAATTATCTAAGAAGATCATACGACACAGTTCAAATGTTTATTCCGCTTGTTTGTCTGCTACTCTTACGCCACAATACCGATAAACTGCACAATTAAAACTCAAAAGTACCAACTAATTATGCAATTAAAAATAATATAAACATTAGAATGTTATATTATACTCTGCTAATTAAAATTTTGAGATTTGAAGTTTTGAAAAAGATTTGAAGCAAGTGGGACAAGCTCTCTTCTCGTGTAATTCCATCTCATTCAAACAAATATGACAAACAATGTGTTTACATGGTATGTAGCCAAAGAAGCCAACACTGACACGCCGTGTGCAAAGGATGCATGATTCAAACTTGGTTTCTACGGCAGTTGTAGAAAGTGATCGAAATTTCTTCACCCATTTCTGTTCTCTTTCACGATTGTTCGGGTCCGAGATTTGCCGGCGAAAGATTCGTTCGAAACCTGATGGTGGTGTTCTTTCGACAAACCCAGTTGGCAACGGTTCACCATTGTCTGTCGTCTGGCGATAAATCTCTGACAGAGATTGGTCGTCGCTCGCCTTTTCTGGATGTTTTAGACGGCTTTGAAACTCACGTTGTAGCGCTTGTAGAACACGAAAGTCTAAGTCTATGAAACGGATCTCGAGCATGCGCCCTTTTGCCTGTAAAAACTCTTTCAAGGCGTCGGTCATGATTCGAGCATATACATCACATGGGAAGTAGAACTTTCCTGCAAAATATAATCAGGTTCGGTTAACTATTTTAGCTGTATTTAATTAAGGTGCGACCCATCCAGATCATTTGAAATTCTCGATGGTCTTAAACAAGTCCCTTTTACAGGGTGTATTGCTTGAACAAGACCAGAATGAAGAATCTTATCAAACCCCAATTTAATTTAGCTTAAGGGATTATCGTTAATCTAATTTTGGTAAGCAATAAACTACACCTTTTCAAATATAATATACCTTTTTTATTATTTGATTGTTTATTCTTAAGAGTCAAAAAATTAAGGATGTTATTTTGAACATTATTGTTGTTGATAAGAAAAGGCCTAACACAAACACGATAATTTACAATTGTTGTAAGCAAGCATTGTAGTTGTTTAAAAAATATACATACCTGTACCAAGACCAGGTATGGCGACAGAACTCACATTCCGCGTGTCTCTAGCTTTCTGAAGAATATTCTTACAGCTCTGTCGTAACTGCGATTCTAAGTATGTCTGATCTTGATCTGCATTCCAACTTGGCATCACAATGAAAAATACTTTATTACATGGCAACACACCGTCCGAATCTATCTCAACAATCTGCCCTTCCACTGGAATCCCGTAGGCTTTCTTCCATTCTAAACACTTTGCATGGATAATCGACCCACTCGCCTTATCGATAGTTGATGAAAGAGCTCCTCCACAACTCAATTCAACGTCGTTCGAGCTGACAATAATGGCAGCCGGTTCTTTAGCGATATCTCCCCTTTTGACAGTGATGTGCACACCATTGAAAATGGTATCATATAAGTTTGCCTGCCCAGAACTGCTTGTTGAATTGAAGAAATTTCTGCTGATGAATTCATGAAACCGAGAGTTCAGAGGTCGTAGGGTAGATGTTGGTGATGTATCTTCCCGTTTTAGTTGTAGATTTTTACTATTTCTATCTGCCGGTTCCCTTTGCTGATCTAATTTCATTCTGGCAATTCCATTGTTAACTGAGGGACCAACTTCAACAGGGCCGTCTATGTCGTTTGACGAAACGTCTTGAGAACTCTCACCATTCATCTTCTGATCTATAATTTCTGACTCTGCCCAGTCATCACCAGTACTTGGCGGTGGCAGAGGCTGCTCTTGACTAGTTGGGTTTTGCACTGTAAAATTTTCCCTCAAAGAATTTGTTTGAGGTATTGTAACAGCTTGTACCACAATCTCTTTAGACATAGCCTGCTCATTATTTATCACTACACCATCGGCTTCTCTTTGGAGTGCATTCTTTCGCTCAGCATCTCTGGAAAGTGCCTCTCTCCGCTGCTCCTCCTGTGCAATGGTGTCTCTTCGTTGAGCTTCTCTAGCCTCTAGTTCTGCTTTTTGGGCCTGTTCTACCCTGCGCTCCTCTTCCCTTGCTTCTTTTTCTCGTCGCTCTGCTTCCTGTGCCATTTCCATTTCATACCGAATTTTTGCTTGCAATGCTTTTTCCCGCTCAACCTCTTTTACCAACAAGTCCTGAGCTTTCACTAAAGCATCTTCAATAACTTCAGTCTTGCCATACACCTGAAGAACACACGATTCAGGCTGTCTGACAACCAGTATTGCCGCGATGCTCATCAGCTGAGTCTGGATCTGTGATCTGAAATCATCATTGACATTGAATGTACCGAGATCAAAATATTGCATCGACATTCCTCGGTCTATATCACTGAATAGCAGTCTCAAAAGATCCACGGCGTTTTCAACATCAGTTTCGGTGCCTGGAACACTGTCAGAAAGTGATATTTCCACATTACCATCGTCCTTTGTACAAATACTAACATAACATGTCTGTCTTATTTCATCGATTTGTACTGAGTGTACATGATTAGCATACTCTACAAGTTCTGGTTTAAATTTTAAACAGCGAGTCAAAACGTCGGACTTGTTACTGCCGTCCATTTTGCTGGAGTCGCTGACCTCATCTGCACATTCAGATACCATTGCATACGGGTATATCCTCTCAAACTTTTCGGAAAGCAGGGCTGATTCTTTCTGTGATTTTAGATTTACATTCGGTGCAGTGTAATCCAAAGGTTCCTCATGTAGAAACCCTGACCATGAACTCTCTTCCAAGTGTTCATCCGTGTTGGGTACAGCACCACGTTGGTGAAACATAAGCCATTCGATATGATTTCTAAGCCGAATTAAGGACTCGAAATTTCCACTGAAGGAGCAACCGAGATCAGAGCTAGCTGTCTGTAGGCCTAAGTTTTTAGCCATCTCGTTTATTCTACTAAGGTACTGATGGACACTAGGCAGCCACTCGTTGGATATGTTAGCAGTTGTTTCTCCAAAAATTGATCCCTGTGGAAAATACAATGTAACAAGTTAGTACTACAAGATTTTACTTTTTAGAAAAACAACATATGTATATATATTCAGCATTACCGCAAAACGGTTTATTTTCCACACCCCCCCCCCCTCTAATTCCGCCTCTAATTCCTGGTCTATCCATTGGTGTAATCGTTCTTCCATTGTCCTGAAAATTTAAAGTTTATTATCAGTACCAGAGTATTATAAGGTATTAGCGAATGAATATAAGATATGAATAACACCATAAACATTAGGCCTGCTCCCGAATTTTCCTGCGCCCTTCTATCGGGCCAGAGGAGATTTTTGCAGTAGGCCTGTATCACACTAACCAGTATTCAAGAAATATGTTGTGTTGATATAACAATTAGGTGTAACGATTCACTAGTGGCGTCACAAAAACATTACTGAACGTGAATTATGATTGTTATCTTAGCGGTGATGTCTGAATCTTTTGAACGTTAATCATGCATATTATAGTTTAATAATCCACGACAATAAACATCCCAGAGAAATAACTATAAACAAAATATTAGCGTGTTACACGTAAGTTGTTGGCATAGTTAACTCGGAGGATAAAGAGGATGCTTCTTTATATTAGGCCTAGTAAAACAAATAAAATTAATATATTTAATTAATCTCATATTTAATAGCAAAATAATATTGTCCAGACGATTTTTAAATCGTCAAAAATTTCTGAATTAAGAAATTCAAATTTTATTAAAATTTTATTGAATTAAAATTCTGAAGCTCTCCTAATTTCTATTCAAGTAGCGAGATTAAAACGCGCCCGCAAGCGGCTTGTAAAAACGCGGGACACGGCTATTCCTAGTGACATCTCATTCCCTCTCTTACAAAATGAAAATGAAAATGTTGCTGCTCTGGTCTGAGCCCGTAGTGTCTTCAGACTCAAGAACTATACACACAACGGTTACTCGGGCGATTACTGTACGTGACTAATCAGTTTAAATGGGTCACCGTCTAAAAATTGATTGTTGTGTAGACTATAGGCCTAGCGTTGATAACTTCAGTGTAAACTCGGGCAATTAGCAAATCTTTAGTGGAGTTTATTAGATTTCGTTTATTAAAAATTAAAACTTTTGCGAGATTTGAACCCTGAAGTTACAAAGTTATTAAGGACAACCATCTACGACCAAGCAACTCAGTCTGCATGCTCCCATCCTCACAACTGTAAAATTGTGCTGACAAAAATGAGGTCGTATGGATCAACATGGAGTACAATACAGTAGATTCATGACTTTAAACGCTTCGAGACTATTAAAATTTGCATATCAATGTGATGAGTTTTATTTTGCGGAAGTAAAAAATAAATAAGCAACTGATCAGATAGAAAGATTAATGTGCTGCGACTCATACAATAGCCTATTGTATAACGACCGCTACGAAGCGGAAACTTTTTCTCTCTTAGATATGCGAAAAAATGGCCCAGAAAAAACGGACAGCCCGGTAAAAATGGCCTCGGTAAAATGGTTCCACTTGAAAATTGCCCCACAAATGACTTTTAACTTTATTTCTAAACCCGAGCCACTTGGGTCTATTTCACAGGGGTTCTTCCGGGCCATTTTCCTGGCTAGGTCCTACTTTTGCCTAAATTCTCTGACGGGCTAAACACTCTTAAACATAACTTTTATGCCAAGCAGGCTTTAAACTGGTGAGAAGAAACCGTACCATGCGATTTAACGTACTTTAAATGAAATGAATTACTTTTAGCATGTTTTTAACCTATGCGATATTTGAAATAAAGCTTTGTAGTTTTAGGCCGCCGAGTCGCTTGTGGGCACTTGCGAAAAATATTACATCGCCGGCATAATAATTTTTTATGTATTTTCCCAGATATTTGGCATATGGGTCACATGTAGATTAAATGTGGCCATTCCCAAAGTTATCTTCCCTGTTATTTGGCATGTGTATGAAATATAAAATTGAGTAAAATCTTAAAGACCTACATAGAAAATTACAAATGATCAAGTGCCGTCTCTGTGACACTCCAAACTATAATCAATGCGATGTACAATTGTACACCATTTATCATATACGATACAGTAGTGGGGTATTAGGTCTATTACCGTCTACATTTAAATAACCTTCAAACGTATTCTATAGCGACAACCCAATTCACGGTTAATCCTACTGTTGCTCTCAATATATATTTGCAAGCAGTGTCATCTGGGCCAAATGCTGAAATAAATTCAAGTAATATCGTTGTTTTCTTGAAGTTTTGACGATTATGTTATCTGAATTCATCCAAACCTCACCCAATATCGACAAATATATAACTACTTACATGTCATCCCGCTCGCTTTCGCTGTCGAACTGTGGGCTGTACATTCTATAGGTTTTGGTTTCAAAAAGCTTTTGGACATTGTCTAAAGAAGCAGCGGCGTTTAAATATCAGAAGGCGTCCATGCTTGACGTTCACTGCTAGGTCATATGTAATCCGTCTTTTAAAAGTCTCTCAGAGAAAAACAAATTTTGGAAATACCTTGCTTTTCATATTTCTTTCAATGCGAACAAGAGCAGAATACGGGGACGATTTGCTCTAGTTTAACTTAACTTCTGCGAAGGCCGCCCTATTAAACTATATTAGGAATTGTAGTTCGACGATGTGTATGTATTGCTATTTTGATAAGTATGGAGTTTTAGGACAAAAATACGAAGATGTAGGAGCGTGGTGTAATTGTGAAAATTGCCTACTATTTTTGTTATAACAAATATACTCTGACAGTGACATTGGCGCAAATATTAAAGGATTTAAAGGCCTTGTCTTTTTTCATACACAATGCTAATGCATGAATAAAAAATAATATATAATATAATTTTTAAAACGTTAGTTTAAACAGCATGAACAATGTTGTTTATTTGTGTCTGTCTAATTGGGGTGAGCCTCCCCTGTAGTTATCGATATGGGCAAATTAATTTTATTTTGTATCGCAATGCATGAAATAATAACAACTTATAAATTGGCCTATGCATCAGTTATTCACATTAAGATTACTGTTTATGTATCATTGCGGTTCTTCCATCACTTCTGCATGAGGGGCGGTAGACATCCCCTTGAACGAAGGTACGGTAAGCGTTATATGCGCGACACTACTGCAGTTTCATGAATAATTAAGTAGCAATATAAATTGAATATTCATTTCACCTACCCTGTATGTTATTGTCGATAAGGTCCAGTGAACACACACTTCTGCTGTACATACGAACTTTTTTGCTTGTGTAAAGTAACAAAGTGAAATTATATAGGCCTAGTATTCTTTGTATGTACTGTACCTTGTAAGTAGTACAAAAGAATATAAACAGGATCTACCACCAGCGGCAGTAGGCCTAATAAACAATGGCCTATGGTAGCCGGTGTAGCCGCGCCAGGCCCATGCCATGTCAATGACAATGCTAGGCTACCACTTCACTGGATGAAGAAGTCCAAAAACTAAGGTAGGCCTATGCCTTACCTAATATTAATAAATTACCTCGCATTGCCGCTCTACTGTAGGGCATAGGCTAGGCCTAAGTAAGTCAACGTGAGGCGCTATACAAATTGCAAATTATTATTATTATATTATTATTCTTATTATTATTATTATTATTATTATTATTATTATTATTATTATTATTATTATTATTATTATTATTATTATTATTATTATTATTTATTGTTATTGTTATTATTATTATTATTATTATTATTATTATTATTATTATAATAATATTAATATTATTGTTCATATCCATATTAATTTTAGGGTGTTCATAACAACACCTGCAGTAGTGGTGCCCATACTACACTATATGTTCTTTTTATTTTTTGTTAAACAATTCTTATATTGTATATATTTTTGTTTGTACCACTTTGAAAATTCAGTAATAGTACTGAAAGTGCCTACAATGTAAGGAATAAATAAATAATAAATAAATAAGGATTAATATATAAAATATAACAACACCTGCAGTAGCGGTGCCCATCTAAAGATTAATGTATAAAATATAACAACATCTGCAGTAGTGGTGCCTGTAATGCAGTAGCGGTGCCCATTTAGGGTTAATATATAAAATATAACAACACCTGCAGTAGCGGTGCCCATAATGCAGTAGCGGTACTTATCTAAGGATTTAATATATAATAACAACAACGCCTGCAGTAGTGGTGCCCATAATTCAGTAGCGGTGCCCATCTAAGGATTAATGTATAACATATAACAACACCTGCAGTAGCGGTGCCCATAATGCAGTAGCGGTGCCCATCTAATAATTTAATATATAAAATATAACAACACCTGCAGCAGCGGTGCCCATAACTTCAGTAGCGGTGCCCATCTAAGAATTAATATATAAAATATAATAACACCTGCAGTAGCGGTGCCCATCTAAGGATTAATATATAAAATATAATAACACCTGCAGTAGTGGTGCCCATCTAAATATTAATGTATAAGATATAACAACACCTGCAGTAGTGGTGCCTATATTTTTTTAATTTTTTATTAAACAATTCTTTATATTGTATATATTTTTGTTACGTTTAAGGTGTACCACTTGACAATCAGTGTAATAATACTGAAAGTGCCTACAGTATAAAGAAAGAATAAATAAATAAATAAATAATAAATAAATAAAGTTAAGGATTAATATATAAAATATAGCAACACCTGCGGTAGCGGTGCCCATAATTCAGTAGCGGTGCCCATCTAAGGATTAATATATAAAATATAACAACACCTGCAGTAGTGGTGCCCACAATGCAGTAGTGGTGCCCATCTAAGATTAACGTGTAAAATATAACAACACCTGCAGTAGTGGTGCCATTAATTCAGTAGCGGTGCCCATCTAAGAATTAATATATAAAATATAACACTTACAGTAGTGGTGCCCATCTAAGGATTAATGTAAGATATAACAACACCTGCAGTAGTGTTTACGTGGGTAGCGCAATGATTACGCCAGCCACGTAATCGTTCTGTACTTTTTGTACACGCAGCATACACAAACGAGACGAACAACAACTTTAGTAACAAATGCAATATCCAATGTAGGCTACATTTATGATTTAACATAACATTGTAGAGTCTCCCTGATTTACAAAACTGTATGTGTGTGGTGAGATCACCAACGCTCATACACTCAAAATACTTTTGTTGACAAAATAGTTTATATAATTTATCATAGGATTAATGAAGTAGGATTATACTTTGTTTGGAGTATCTGATTAGTGCAACATCACAAATACTAAGGCAAGGTTTCAATTTGTATTGTAGGTACTAACACTATTGTATCCGTTTCGTGAGAGTTTAGACCGCAAAACGAATAACCTAATCATGGCCTAGCTAAAAACCATGATTTCTGCTTTCCACGTAAAAGGCATTGTCTACATTTCACCCGAGCGAACAAATACTTTATTAAAATAGGATAATAATAATACAATTTTATATTTTCGCAAGAGATGTAATGAATGCTGTGGTAGGCCTACTTGTTTGCAGATGCTTTAAAAGTGGCACATCTGCAATCCAATTGTAAGTACTGTATTAAAATGAGGCAAATCCTGATTACTGTCCTTATTTAAACACTGTATATGTACCTTTGACGATTTATATTATATTTATTCAACAGTGTTAACGGCTAACTCCCTTCAATATCATATAGCTATCTTGAAAAGACTCTTCAGTTTTGCAAACTGAAGAGGGGCTTCGTCTACTATAGACTTTGGTTTTGCTTCAGTAGGTTTCTGTCCCATAGAGCGCATGACAGATCCAAGCTCATCGATGCAGTATTATTACCGTCACCATCTTTGTCAAACGTCTCCATAAATTCTGGAATACAACTGTAAACTGTATGAATGTTGACTGAAAAATGTTAACCTGGAAATTGCTGAATCCATGCCAGTTTACCGAAGGCCTGTCTACAATTGCGAGGATTATCAGCAATTGGTTATTCTGTTGTTGCTGTTATTATCATTCTTTAGTTTCATAATTATGAAATTATGCAGTGTTTGCTTAATTTTCATCGATTTTGTAATGAAGATGTTTGATTTTGAGATTATTACCGTGTTTCATTAACATGAATATATTTAGCGTCCGTGCTATTTTATCAACCTTTCGAATGTTGACTAAGCCTGTGGCTGCATGTTAATCACTCTGAAACGATCACTATTCTAAGCGTGATGGAGGTTGGGCCTTAAGCTAGAATATATAATCACCATAATAATTATATTATCAGAAGATTTCAATTCCAGGGTAAAGGGAAATAGTCATCACAGACACCTCTTATTTAGACCAAGAACCTTTCGATTCATTTCGTAGACCCAGTGGTGTAACGCTTATGTACTCTCGTGCGGCGGTCCGCAGGGCCCCGACCCGTATGGGCCCGGGTATAGGGTCCTCGATCTAGCACCTGACCAAAAAGGGGAGGGCCCATACCCATAGGGTCCTCGATCCACCACCCTGACCAAAAAGGGCTTTGCTGATACATAACAGCATAATGTGTCTGACGTCGACAGTAGGACATCATACCGTATTATTTCCAGTGGCTGATTCAATGGGGGGGGGGGCTAAATTTGTCCTTTTTTTAAAAATGAAGATAAAGGTAAGTGCCATTTCCGGCCACCTAGAGGTGCCATTCTATTAAATTTTCTTACCTCAGCCCCAACGATGGTGGGGCTGAGGTTGAGGTTATTGACTGGAGATAGTGCACATGCAGTTGGGTTTTTTTTCAAAGCACATTTATACATGATCATTGTCCGCAACAACTGTCACGAGTCCAGTGTCTTATTTTTTGATACTGGTTATAAAAACATCAGCTCAAAACCGTAGCCTACCATGTATACTTGTACCCAAACATTCATTTTTTGGGTTTTTTTTAAGGTAATGTACAACAATTAATTTTTTTATTTTCCATGGTTACATACTTGTTCTAATCCTTTTATTATCTAATTTTAATAATTATGACCTTGAATATTTATAAATTAATAACTTAATATTTATTTATTTTTATTTGCATTTTCATAATGATGTTATTTTTATATTTATAACAATTTTATAAGCAATGCCTTTTCTCAGTGTAATTTCCTTTTGGACAAATATATTTGAATTGAATTGGTTTGTGCTGACTAAGCTTCGATGGTCGCAATCCCTCGGACACTTCTGCGCTGGCAGCTTCCATCTTTTCCATGTGTGGGCACAATGGTCTTCGTGGCGCAACCTTCACGGTGTCTCTTTTTTCAGGATGCCATGAGTAGTTACAAATAAAGTCGTACTTCATTTTTCTAAGTAATATTTTATTAGCATTTCTTTACGTACAGTTTTTAAGTAGAAAAATGTTATGAACCAACCATTTATAGTTACAACGCCAAACGCTATCAGTATTTTTATGCTATTGATATAAAAATAACATTTGAGGGTTAACAGGGTTAAAGTAGCAAGGGGCCCGCTCCGCAAGCTGTCAGCTTACCAACTATTCTGTGATAGTAAACTCTATACAAAGTTCAGGAAATGTTAGTGCTTCTTGTAGTTGGTACCGGACTTGGTAGTGGAAAAAAGATTGATCATGTTCAAAAACTTTGAATTTGCTTAAAACTAGCTTAGTGGACTGCTGGACATGAGAATTTTATTTTGAGGTCATCATCTTTACAAATTCTGCAATAAACAAAACAAGAAGTCTATTAATTCGTGGTTGTAGAACTACTAGAAAAAATCAATAATAATAATAATAATAACAGTCATTTCATATTATTTCATTAATTTACAGATTTTACGGGGGAGGGGGTGGGGGTTGAGTTTGAGCCGAGTTTGTAAAGTCCAGTAGAGCAGAAATTAGATCGTTAACTTATCAGATGATGGGCGATCCAAATCGACTTACACACCGAAATGCCACTGAAAGGACGATATGTTTATTTACTTGACTAGCATCCAGATCTATGCGTATTGAATTTCTTTTTCAATGTCAACAAACCAAAGAACCGCTGAATAGTAATAGGCCTATTTGCTACGAGAAACTTATGCATTATGCATATTTGTTCTGAGAAACACTATGATTGTTTAGTAACATAACGAGAGTGTCATCCACATTACTAGCCTACCTTCGTAATTGACTTGGCCGTCACCGTCGATGTCGGCTTCTCGGATCATTTCGTCGACTTCTTCGTCTGTCAGCTTCTCGCCTAGATTCGTCATAACGTGCCTGAGTTCAGCAGCGCTTAAAATATTTAAGAAAAGGATTTTAAAAAGATATATTCGTATTGTGTACAATGTAGCTGACACGAGGGCCTAACGACCCTAGATCAAGTTCCCTCTGAACATTTTGATCGATTCGCTTGGTATTCATGGCGTTAAGCCTCTATAAATCGACTTGCAAATCTGTTTCTTTTTTAAACCTCTGGTTTTAAAAATTGTCCTGCAAGTGATACCCATATTAAGCCTTGTCTCCATAAAATCGCTACACATTATAGCTTTCGCCAACACTGATTAGTCGGTCAATCAGGGAGCTTTCTCGACTACGTCGAGGATAGCATCACAGGCTAAGGGCATTCAATAGCATTAAAAACACTGTAGTGACAGTGTAGCGATTTTATGAAAACTAGTCTATACGTCAAAATACTATAGTTGTTTAATTTTAAAGTCTATCCCCTAAGTTTAAGAAAAAGAATCCCCGTGATAGTTTGCATGAGAATAAACTACGCTCATAGCCATCAAAGATAACATTCCTTTTCAAGCTCCCCTTCAGATGTTTCTAAAGCCGACCTGATTTTCGAGACTATTGATCGCTCTGACTTGACCAACAGTTTTTGAAACATTCTCATAAAACACACAAGACAAAAGCGATAACGCGCCGCGTACGAACCAACAACACACCTGATGAAACCGTTGCCGTCTTTATCGAATACTCGGAAAGCTTCTCGGATTTCTTCTTCAGTGTCAGTATCCTTCATTTTCCTGGCCATCATGGTGAGAAATTCTGGGAAATCTATGGTGCCATTACCTTTTAAAGATAAATTAATTTGAAAATTGACGTTAGTTTTGGGGTTTTCTCCTGTTTGTTTTGATCCCCAAGCTGACCGTCCGGCGACCGCAATAAGATCGCCGGAGTTGTCGTCGATAGTACATGACATGGAAACCAAGCTTAAGATGCCTATCTTCTAATCCTAGGTTCCCGAGTTCAGGCTGCCATAATGTGAATTGATCAAATGACCAGGGTATACTGAAACTATAACATGGAATCTTTGCAGATTAAAGTTTACATTAATTATTGTTCATCATAATTTCTTTATATTATGTAATTACGTCATTATTACGTCATATTTAAGTTATTCTAATTTGCTTACCATCAGCATCGACTTCATTGATCATATCCTGAAGTTCTGCTTCCGTTGGGTTCTGTCCCAAGGATCTCATCACAGTTCCAAGTTCCTTGGTGGTGATGGTGCCGTCGCCATCTTTGTCGAATAATGAGAAAGCCTCCTTAAATTCTGCAAGCAAATAACATCATGAGAAAATTAGACAAAATCAAAACAAAACAGCACAAAATGCAACTTAGCTGGGAGAGTTGTTTTTCGTTAGACAAACATTCGAAATTGTAAAGTGAGTTTCTTACCTGCAATCTGTTCTTCTGTTAATTGATCGGCCTGAAATATAAAATATCATAAATATATTAACACAGGGAATACATACCAGTAATCATTCGATTCGAATGCATTTTATCTGTAATAACAATATCATCATCAATAATATTATAATAATTTATAGCATTAGGAAAACGTTTTTACATTTGCAGATTGCTGTTTACCAATTACAATTAAAATACATATCCAGGGAACAGTTAAATTTTACTGTTCCCTGGTATAACAACACCTTAAAAAAAGTACTTCTTAATAATACAGTATAGAGTATCACCTTAATATGGGATGTTCCGAAGGAGGGTTTCTACTGTATTAATATTATAGCAAACAATAGGAAATAACAATGACAACATTAGCTTTTTAAATTGCCTATTTTCCTAACTTTGTCAACGTGACTGGTCATACCAATTGTCTCTACAGGAAAGTACACGCTACATACATACACGTATTGTCAATTGTTTGGCCAGCTGGATATCTAAACGTGTACTTCCATTGTTATTTATATTCAGCTCTTTAGAAAATTGTCCTCAATAAATAACATAACAGTTACCATAATTAATCTTTTCTTTCCCCGCCTGTCTATGAACTAACTATTAACACATAACATTTTATCCTTCAGAGTAAGCCTAATTTTAAATTCACCAAGTATTAGAAATAGTTTTGTTTTGCATAACAATATCTTAATTATACCGTTTTTATGTTTAAATATCTTAGGTTTTGAATTATATTTAATTAATTTTTATATTTTTTTTATAAAGTTAAAATTGTTTTATTTATTGTTTTTGATTAATGATTACTTATTTTGCTATATATATATTTTGTATTTTTTATTTATATAATTGCTTTCTGTATTCTGTTAATTTTGTTTTATTATATTATAATGACCTCAGTATTATTTATAATTGTATTTATGTTAAACAGGATGTCATCATCATTCCTGATGATGACATAATTAATGTCGAAATATTGAATCCCAACACGATGGCGTGTATTTCAATACTTGGAGTATGTATTATACTTTCTTATCTGAGATTAATCAGTGGACCTTTCGTTTTTAGGATGAGTGAGGTTCACAGACTTTCTGTTATATTGATTAAGTTTGCTTTTGTGTCCTCGCCACTCATTCAATTTATTGTATTTGTATTCTCTATCAAATAGTATAAATTTATACTCTTTGTCTGTATGTATTCCACCATTGTATTGTGCTTCGTTTTCTTTTCCGAAAAAAAGAACAAAAATAAAACTTAATAGCGCACGATTGGCAAGCAAACGGTGATAATATATTGTGTCAATCCTTCGGCTGATAACCGCTTTGAGTACCCCCAAAACAACCGTCCGAAGCAACAGCTATAGGGAATTACAGTAGTAAACAAATCGATCCTAAATCGTATGGTCTTAGACCTTGGGTTAACGCAAAACCACACAAATAACTATCGATTATATGTCATTTGAGTATAGAGAAACAATAGGTAGGCCTAATCACGTATAGGTCCAGTATGCAACGATAAGATTAAGCATGTATAGTGTAATCCGTGACTTGTTTTACCAGTCGTACGCAATTCCTTTTACGTGATCTGTCCACGTACTTAAGTTTTTCGAAAATTGAAATTCGGTGGCTGTAAAAAACCGAGTAGGCTCGTAGGTATGCCTACTCGATTTGTGGTAAAATAATGTACAGGTGTAATGGGAAATTACTATGTAGTTTTAGAGTTGGTGTATTGGCCATCACTCAATCAATGATGAAACAGAAAATTGGTTAGGCCAGCCAAAATGAATTTGATACGGGCTAGAGCTGCTTGAGAAAGTCGTTAATCTTCAGTGCATTTTTTGTTTACATAATGCAATGTAAATTATAAATAAGCGATAATAATATTTGAACAGTACCGTAGTAATTGTTTGCGCTAATGCAGTTCCCCGCTCTGCATGCGTAAACGGATGAATTGGTAAGCCCGTATATAAGTAATTAAATTGTGGTTTTTAACGGTATTCAACAGAGTTGTCCATAATAAATGCAGGCATGATACGTAATAATGAATTTCCATGGCCACGGGACTCCGTGGCTACTATGAACTTGTGTTAAATGTGGAATACAATGTACAGTAGCATTTTTGTGTCAGCTTGTGGAGGAATCAAGCAGAAAGCATATTGCAAAAAAAAAAAAATATAT